TATCTGATTGTCAACTTTATTTTTATGCATTTGACTCTGTTTTCCTTCCATTATCAAGACTGATACCCTTTCAGGTAGAGAGAAGTAAGATAATATCATAAAAGTGATGTGAAACTAATGATTTCTTTTCAAGCTATAATTTATTGAAAATTTGCTACTTTTATTCATTTAATCATAACAAAAAACAGCTAAATTAATTAGTGATAGTTTTCATCTATTTTACAGATGAGGAAACTAAGGTTGAAGGAGAAATTGAATAATTTGCACAGGATCACACAAACTGAAATTCTAACCCATTTTGTGTTATTCTAGATTAGAGTTTTAAACTCTGTGCCCTAAGCTTATTGATAAATATATCTACTGAAGTATCCTGGACTAGATCATTTCAAAGTAAGCCAAGGTCTTCATCAATTACTCTTCATCCTGTATTATCACCTTTGTCCCAATTTAATACTTTATATTTCTAAACTATTTAACTGGCTTTAAAATACTTTCACAAGCATTAATGGTTTGAATCCCACAATAGATTTATAGAATATTTGCAATCTTAAATAACAGGAAAGGGAAACATATTAAAAATTATCCAGTCATATTGCTGAGTAGTCAGGTTACAAATATAGGCGTTCTTACTCTATTTTCATTGCTTTTTCTAGAACTGTTCTTTAGAAGTATCTAGTATTTTTTCTTAAAATAAGGCAGACATGAAATACTCTGTGAACTATCATGTTTTCAAATTTATTCAATTATTTTGAAAATACTCATTAACATTGCTTTCATATTATGTACAAATTGTGATCAGGGACATTATTTTCAGTAAAATGAATAGAGTCCATCTACTGAATTCAGGGAATTTTCAATGCCAGGCATTGAGTTCCATAGCTTGACAAACATGAGTCCTAAAATGACATTGCTTCTATGATCATATCAAAGATTGCTTACTGTATCAAATGTATGGGAAGGAGTGGTGAGAAGGAAATATGAATAAGTGAAGTGGGTTCAAATTATGCAAACTCTTGTTTGTCTTGCTAAGATTTGGATTATATAATATAGGGATAGGTGAAGAAAACTCACTGAAGAATTCTGAGATGAGAAGTGTCATGTTTGAATCGGCATAATAAAGAATAACTCAGGCAGAAGAGGGAAGTGGGAGTCAAGGATTAGACCAGAGTCAGGAAAACAAATAAGAAGGCTATTGTAATAGTCTCAGATTACTCAGTCCACAAATCTGGATGATCATTAAAATTACAAAGGATGCCTTTTAAAATGCAGGTTTTGGGGCCCTACAATTGTTGCAGGATTTTTTTCCTCCATCGGTGCCTGCAGTTCTTGGTCATGCCACTTGGAATAATGAAGAGGTAGACCAGGCTGAGCAATGGGCAGCAAAGCAAGGTTTATTAAATGAAATAAGGTTCCCAAAGAAGGAGGGACTTGAGAGAGTTGCCACGGGAGTTTCCAAGTATGGGGGTTTTTATGGGCTTTTTAGCAGGCTATTTTAATCATTTAACCCTCCCTGCACCTGTTATTCAATCAGGTTTTTGTTGCCTATCTATCATGTGGGAAAAAGTGGAGGGCTCCTTCCAGGGTGGTGTAAAATCCTTTAAATGTGATTTCTTCTTAGGGCAGGGCTCCCTTCCGGCTGCCTGCCTTCCAACTACCCTTTATCATGATGAGTTTCTGACTCTAGGGCTAGGTCACAACATGATTGTGATAATAAGCCATGTGTAGAATTTTCTTGCCTGGAGAGGCTATGAGGAAGTAGTAGTGAGAGAGAAGAGATTGGAGAGATATTTAGGCAGAAATAACAGGTTTTAGTGATTGTTGGATACCAACCTGGAGCAATTGTGCGGATGGGTGGGCCATTCATTAAGACAAGTGGAGCATTAGATCTTAAAGGACAAGAAAAATTGATGAGATAATCCATGGGGCATGCAGGTATGAGTGACCCCGAGGCAGTTTGATACATATGTATAACTAAAAAGGATGGTAGTATAGACCATTGTGATTCATCCATCCCTTAGAGCTGTGGAAGGGACCCATCTGACCTTGGCACTTTGCTGCAAGCCCAGATAAGGTGGGTTTTTTTGTTTGAAGCAAGGAAGAAGAGGGAAATGGCTGCACACACATACACACACACACAGACATACACACACCATTCTGTTTGGTCTATATATTCAGCCATCCAATATTTCACTTGCAAATGTGCTAAGTATATACTCATTTAAGTCAATGATTAAAATACTGAAAATAACACAAACAGATGTAGAGACCTGCCCTGAAGTAAATGCCAATCCACAATCAAAGTCCTTCATCCTGGTCCAAATGAAACTAAACTTAGATTTGTCTGAACCCCAAATCTCCATACAGTCCATGAGGATATTGTGAGAAGTTTCATTCAATCTTTTATGGCTTTGTTCCATACATTGGGGTATACTGAGGTATGTCAGTGGATACATTTAGTACTTCTTTCCCTTAAAAGCCCTTTTTTATACTGAGATATAGAAAGTAATTAGATATATAGTAGTTATAGATATACAGTAGTTTCCATGAGCTTAAGCTTATTCTCAGCATAATTTATATGTCTGTTATTCATGCATACTTATCTCTTGTTTTGTGCTGGTTTCTTGTATACATCCTTCTAAAAGCTGAGCTCATGCAAATGATCAGAATAAGAACTTGTTTTTTTCAGTTCCCTTCCATTTTTCCAATTTTTCACTATGTCATTGATTTCATTGTGACCCTCCCATTTCCTTTCTAATTACCTTCCTTTTTGGTTTGTATCTAATATTTCTATGATTTTAAGGAATTAAAAAGATCTGCTTTCTAAACAATATCCAAGTTTACATACCTACCTGTGGCTAGTATGTTTTTTACTTTTATGGACCCTAAAATGGCACCATCGTATTCCATTAAAATAATTTTTGTAGCCTCTATTTCATCCTTACTACATCCAGAGCATCATTCCCTTGTAGCATAATCCACCATCTGAGATGAGACTATTAGCAAGATCAGTAAAGAATGCACCAACTATTTTGCTTTAGTAGAATGATGCTTCCACAATATAGAAATGTAGTTTCCAACCATGATCTTTATCTGCCTCTAGGCCAGATCTGAAACTTGCATTAGGACAGTAGCAGTCATATTCTTTATCTACCTAAGATAACAGTATTTGACTCCCATAGTACTATTAGTTTGTGTGTTTTATCTTGTATGCTCATGCTAAGTTCTCCACCAGACTTAAACCTAGTAGCTCAATGATTTCCAAGCAGGGACTCCTTCCATATAATACCAAGTGTTATCTTACTTGCATAGCATAGAACCTTCTCTTGGCATATTCTCATTAATACCTGTATCTCAGCAAGTTTGTCTGGCCTAGATCATATTTTTCTATTTTCATTATATTTTAGGCTTATCTTATCTTATTAGCTTTAATTAAAAAATAGAAGTGTTTAAAAGTATTGATCAGAGATACAGCTGAAACAAAGTCAATTACTTTTTAATATTTTAAATAGAGACCTTTGCAAAGTACTATAGGAACCAAAGGAACAAATTTAAGATAGATTTTTTTTTCTATTAAAAATTGTTTTTAGGGATCCCTGGGTGGCGCAGTGGTTTAGCGCCTGCCTTTGGCCCAGGGCGTGATCCTGGAGACCCAGGATCGAATCCCACGTCGGGCTCCCGGTGTATGAAGCCTGCTTCTCCCTCTGCCTATGTCTCTGCCTCTCTCCCTCTCTCTCTCTCTGTGTGACTATCATAAATAAATAAAAATTTAAAAAAATTGTTTTTAATTTTTTGGTAGCAAAACTGGTGTATTTTTCCCCATATTTCCTCTTGTGAATCACTGACACATTTTCTCAGCTACTGTATTGTCTCCAACTTAAGTTATACTTTCATCTCATTTTATCATTCTATCTGTGCATTATTCTTCCCTTACCTCAAACTCTAGTTTAGAGTTCTCTTTATCAGTTTGGCAAGATTCCAGATAAATGCATTCGTCTCAGATGTATGATATTCCTTATAGGGAGTCTGTTGTATTAACAACATAAGCCCTGGCTAAGAAAACCTAGATTTTGGTCTTCTTTTTTTTTTTTTTTTTTTTTTTTTAGATTTTGGTCTTCTTTTGATTTTTGGAAGGGTGCTAGTTGATCCTCAATACCTTTTATTTCTTCTTCAAAGTCATGATCTTAACTGGAAGAAGAGATGAAAATACCTCTTCAATGACCAAACCAAGTGCTTAGGTTTTATCATTCATTGCCATACAAATCAATGAGTATACTGCAGTCTGTAAATGTGTTAAGTCTCAGGAAACCTAAGGGAACCTCTCATATCTATTCCATCATGATTTGCCTCAATATAAATGAGAAAGAAATAAAATGCCTTCCCTGGAAGATTTGATTTGGTTTATCCTCAGACTCTTTTTAGAGACCTACATGTATTTCCCTAATGTGTAAAGGATATGTTATATAAATTATCAGCCAATTAAAATAAAAGGTAGAGATCATATTATCAAGGATTCCTTTATAGCTTATAAAAATATTATCCTTTACTGATGATAGTTGCCAGGAACTACATATGTGGGACTTAAAACCTGAGGTTGAACTTGAAAGTGTCCCAGACACAAGAGAGAAAAAAAACCGCAATGATATTATCCTCAGGAATTTGCAATCTACTCAGTAAGCAAGCACTCCTGAACACAGCCATAAGCACATATCCTTGCTGTAACACCAGGTTTCTATAGAAATCGACCAGAGCAGTGGGCTAGGAAAGTGATATTGAGATGATTTTAACAGCAGCAAGGAAACATCAATTCACAATTATCCTCCAATCTTAGAAGAATATAGATCAATTAAATACTTGATACAGAGAACATGTTCATAAACAGAATTCAACAAGCACAGGAATAATACTCTATATCCATGACATTTTTATGGTAAAGAATGATTTAAATAAAATATCTTCCATTCAAAATATAATACTGAAGATTAAATGCCAAAGTTACTTACTTTTACTATGATAAGCCTAGCCAGGTTTTCATATTTCTGGTTATCATTTTCTGTATGCTCTATTTCAAACAGAGTATTATAATTTTCTAGTAATTTAGCCATTATCTTGTTGCAGATGTCTTGTTCTTTCATGCCTTCAAGCCCAGGTGGCACACTAGAAATAAGGGGGAGAAATGACATGAATTATTTTGTAAAAACAAAAAATGCCAGCACAGCTGACTCAGGAATACATTTTGACATCTCCTATATGACTGATCAGCCTTCCTATAAGGACACACGCAATTTTCAACAAGCTCTATGGTGACATACGATGTTGCCAGCACAAATTCTGTTCAATAGCTTGTGATGAATATGAAAAGGACATGTTATTCAGGAAGGAGGTATAGATTAACATGGGTGTCATAATGCTTTGTATATATTAGAAATTGCCATGCATAAGGTAACATATAAGAACAAAAGTGTTAAAAATCAAATGTTATAACAAAAAGAAAGACTGTGACAGAAACTATAGAATGTTTGCCACAGAAATAATAGCAACAAATCTTTATTGAAGGTCTTCTTAGATAATGCATAAAAAGTACAAAACTTAAAGAAAAATTTAAATATTTCCAGAAAAAAAAATACTGATTACTGTTAAAGCTGAGTGATGTATAAATGGAAGATTTATTATACTATGTACTACTCTCTCTTCTTTTGGGTAAGTTAAAAAAATTTCCATAATGAAAAAAAATGTGAAAAAGATCTTCTGAATGCAGAAGACACCATAAATAAGGTAGAAACACAAGCTATAGATTAGACATGAGTATCTCTTCAGTAACATGGACAATTGACAGGATTGGCAGTTAGACTACGCAAAGAATTCCTACTAGTCAATAAGAAAGGAAATTAAAAAAGACAAAGGACAAGAGCTGAAAAACTCATAGAAGAAAACATCAATATAGTTGAACATCAATAATCTTATAGTGCAAAGATCTTTAACCTCATTGAATAACCAGTGAGAATATTAAGAAAGCCATACTGAGATGTTAGTATCCATCTAGATTAGTTTCCTGTGGCTGCTATAACAAATTATCATCAACTGTTGCTTAAAACAACAGAAATTTATTCTTTTACAGTTCTGGAGGCCAGCAGAGTGCACTAGCTGGTAACATTCCTTGGCTGTGACTATTGCTTCAATTTTCAATCAAGGCCAGCATCTTAAAACTCTGCTCCATCTTCACATGGCCTTCTCTGTGTGTTGAGTCTACAAATAATCTCACTCTTATGGTCAATTAATCTATGGCAAAGAAGCCAAGAACACAACATGGGGGAAAGACAGTCTCTTTAATAAATGATGTTGGGAAGACTGAATAGCTATACGCAAAAGAATTAAACTGGAACTCATACCTCACACCATACACAAAATCAACTTAAAATGGACTAAAGATTTGAATATAAGACTTGAATCCATAAAATTCCTATAATATAAATATTACGTAAGCTGCAAAAATGTGCTGCCTTTCATTAAGAATGATGAATGACTCAGAGAGCAGAACCAAAAACACAAGAGGGTGAAGTTGAAAACCATGGAGAAATATTTCCAGAACTTGAAACCTAATCAAGAGATTCCCAACATTTGCCAAACTGGATATCAAACTGCCATTACGTCAATCAGGAAATAAAAGAAATTAAAAAGTACATAAAAATAAGTGAAAATAAAAATGGAATTGTTCAAAATCTTTGGGATGCAACAAAATTATTCAAAGAGGGAAGTTTATAGCAATATAGGCCTATCTCAACAAGCAAGCAAAATCTCAAACAACCTAGCCTTATACCTAAAGGTGTTAAAAAAGAACAACAAACAACACCTAAAACCAGCAGAAGAAAGGAAATAATAAAGATTAGAGCAGAAATAAATGCAATAGAAACTTTAAAAACCCAATATAACAGATCAATGAAACAAGGATCTTTGAAAAGATCAACAGAATTGATAAAACTGTAGCCAAAACTATCCAAAAAAGAAAGAGAGGCAGGGAGGGAGGGAGGGAGAGAAAGAAAGAAAGAGAGAGAGAGAACTCACAAAAATCACAAATTAAAGTGGAGAAATAACTGATACCACAGAAATACAAATGATTGTTAGAGATATTATGAAAAAGTATATGCTAACAAATAAGAAAACCTGGGGAAAAATGGATAAATTCCTAGAAACCTACAACTTATCAAAACTGAAGAAATAAAAATTTGAACTGATTACCATAAAAGAAGTTGAAATAGTAATCAAAAAATTCCCAACAAATAAAAGCTCAGGACCACAGAGATTCACAGGAAAATTCTACCTAATATCTAAAGAACAGTTAATACCTATCTTCTCAAACTATTCCAAAAAACAGAAAGGAAGGAAAACTTCCAAATTCATTTTATGAGGCCAGCATAACCTTGAGCCAGATAAAAACACCATAAAAAAAGAGAACTACAAGCTTATCTCTCTCATGAACATAGATGCAAAAATCCTCAACAAAATACTAGCAAACCAAACCCAACAATACATTAAAAAAAAAATCTTTTTGACTTAGTGGGATTATTCCTGGGTTTCAAGGGTGGTTTGATATTCACAAATCAATCAGTTTGATACAACACATCAATATGAGATAGGATAAGAACCATATGGTACTTTCAATAGATGTAGAAAAGCATTTGACAAGTTACAATACCCACTCATGACAAAAACCCTCAACAAAGCAGGGAACATAATGCAACATAATAAAAAAACATAATAAAGTCCATATATGAAAACTCATAGTACTTTTGAATGTGGTGCTTGGCTGGCTCAGTCAGTGAAGCATGCAATGCTTGATCTCAGGATCATGGTAAAGCTCCACGGTGGGGGTGTAGATTACATTAAAAAAGAAAAAAGGGAGACTTCTGAAAAACCCAATGCAAACATCATCTTCACTGAAAGCGTTTCCTCAAGGTCAGGAACAAGACAAGGAAGTTCACTTTCACCACTTTTATTCAACATAGTACTGGAAGTCCTAGCCATACCAATCAGACAACAAAAAGAAATAAAATGCATGTAAATTGGTAAGAAAGAAGTAAAACTTTCACTATTTGCAGATAACATTATACTATATGAAGAAAACCCAAAAGATTCCACAAAAAAACTGCTAGAACTGATAGACGAATTCAGTAAAGTCACAGGACATATCAATGCATAGAGATCTGTTGCATTTCTATGCACCAATAATGAAACAGCAGGAACTAAGAAAATAATCCCATTTATAATTGCACCCAAAATAATAAGATACCCAGGTATAAACCTAACCAAAGAGGTGAATGACCTGTACTTTGAAAACTATAAACACTGATGAAACAGACTGAAGAGGACACAAAGAAAAGGAAAGATGTTCCATGTCATGGATTGGAAGAAAATTGTTAAAATGTATATAATTTCCCAAACAATCTGCACATTTAATGCAATACCTAACAAAATGCAATAGCATTTTTCACAGAACTAGAAAAAACAATCCTAAAATTTGTATGGAACCACGAACGACCCCAAATAGCCAAAGCAACATTGAAAAAAGAAAAGCGAAGCAATTCCATACTTCAAGTTATATTACAAAGTTGTAGTAATCAAAATAGTATGGTACTGGCATAAAAAACAGACACAAAGATGAATGCGCCAGAATAGTAAACCCAGAAATGAACCCGATTACACAATTAATCTTTGACAAAACAGTAAAGAATATCCAAATGGGGAAAAGACAGTCTCCTCAACAAATGGTGTTACGAAAAATGGACAGCAACATGAAAAAGAATGAATCTGGACGACTTTCTTACAGCATACAGAAAAATAAACTCAAAATGGGTTAAGACCTAAATGTCTATCAAGGATAAATAAAGAAGATGTGGGATACACACACACAGGAATATTATTCAGCCATGAAAAGGAAGAAAATCCTGCACTTTGTAACAACATGGATGACCTTGAATGCCAAATGAAATAAGTGAAAGAAAAATAATATAAAATCTCATGTATATGTGTAATCTAAAACAAACAAACAACAAAAACAAAACAAAACAAAACAAAAAAACTGGACAGATAGGGCACCTGGGTGGCTCAGTGGTTCAATGTTTGCCTTTGGCTCAGGTCGTGATCCTGGAGTCCTGGGATCGAGTCCCACATCAGGCTCCTGCCAGGGAACCTGCTTTTTCCCTCTGCCTATGTCTCTGCCTGTCTGTGCTTCTCATGAATGAATGAATGAATGAATGAATGAATGAATAAGAAAGAAAGAAAGAAAGAAAGAAAGAAAGAAAGAAAGAAAGAAAACAAACCCTGAACTGATAGTTACAGGGAACAAATTGCTGGTTGCCAGAGATAAGGGGTGAAGGATGAGCAAAGTGAGTGAAGGTAGTTTAAAGGTACAAACTTCGAGTTATTAAATAAATTTTCTGAGGATGTAATGTACAGTATAATGACTATAGTTAATAATACTGTATTGTATATTTGAAAGTTACTAATAGAAAATCTTAAAAGTTCTCATTACAAGAAAAAAAGTTTATAAGTATGTGTAGTGATGTTAACTTAGACTTACTACGGTCACCATTTTACAACATACACACATACTGATGATCGTGTTGTACACCTAAAACTAACAATGTCAATTTTATCTAAATAAAAAAATACAGATATGTGAAAAATGTAAAAAAATATATATTACTTTATGTTTTGGGGCAAAAATTATATAAAGATATAATTTTGTGACATCAATAATTGAAAGAGGTGGGGAAGGAGCTATAAAAGAGTTTTTCTTTTGTTTTGTTTTTAAAATAATCTCTATGTTCAACAGGGCTCAAATTCACAATCCTGAGATCAAGAGTTGCATGCTCTACTGACTGAGCCAGTCAGGAACCTTGGGGAAGAGTTTTTGTATGTTATTGAAGTAAAGCTGGTACTTATTCAAATTAGAGTGCTATAAGTTTAGGATGTTAGATGTAATCCTCATGGCAACCACAAAGAACATACCTACAGAATGTACACAAAAGAAAATGAGAAAGGAATTTAAACATTATACTACAAAAAATTTTAACTAAACACAAAAGAAAATAGTAATGAAGTAAATGAAGGACAAAAAAGCTGTAAAGGCCATAGAAAATGCATAGCACAATGATACA